TTTGTTTAGTGACCGGACATCCTGATTTCTTCGATCGTTGGCCTAGTGATATCTATGGGAGGGTCTGTATGTGCTGCTTTGATATCTAAAAGATTCACTGGAGCTGGTCTATTTAAGAGTTCCTCGGAGCTTTCCACCCATATGTTCGTCTGTTCTTCAATTTCAGTGATTGGTTCGCCTTCTTTGTCCTTGACCGGTCTCTCTGGTTGTCTATATTATATTGTTGTCTATATAAATTATACACGGGTAAAGTATACTGGATCTTAATTAAATTGCCAAGGATAGGAGTGTTCAGTTTCCTTTTGATTTTGTAATCTACAGTTATGAGTACTTGGTAATTCCAACTGCAATTACTATAATCCGGGTTGTGTATCCGGTTAGAGCATGTAATAAGGGTATCACTGTAAAATGTAAACATAAAAAACAAATATATGAAATTTCTGTGATCATAACAGTGGATAATTGAGAACAAGAGGCATATGTGTACAGCGATGTATTTGTGAGTGATAAACAATTTGTCAAGCTATGAGTGTTCATTAGCGAAACGGAAGACCAAAGGTCATGTTTCTTTTAACAGTTTTACAGTCAGTAATGGTAATTGTACAAATTATGAGAATTAACGAAAGAAATGCACATAATAGCAAGAAACTAATTACTAAATAAGTGGATGTTAACTTTCTTCACAACATAGAATGCACTAACATTTATTAATGAAAACAAGTGACAACAAGTCAGAGATAACACGATAACCTAGTAGTCAGAGCAAGAAGTTTTAAACGTAACATAGTTCTCCATGGGTGGATCTAACTACAACAATCAGGAATTGTTTTGACCGCTTGAAGGTCAACTGCGGAAATAGAGTTTGTCTGACCACGGCGGTAGTTTTCGCTCCTAATGTTGTCCTTAGTGGAGCGAGAATTCGGGGTTGTGTGCACAAAAGTTGTTCATTCACCTTGTGATGTTGAAATTAATTGTGATATTGAAAAGAAGTGTCTTAACTCCTCCAATCGCTTTGCTGAAACGTCATGTGACGACTTTGAAGGGAACCCCCTAGAAATTGAAAAAATAGCAAACTTATCAATTGAGTCAAGTTTCACCGATTCACAAAAAGAATCTACAATGCCACGCTCAAGATTCTTCGACTTTACAGGACTCAAACCTCTGGAGCGGTAAGTTTAGTATTTTAGAAACACTTTCAGTAAACCTGTTGGAGGATATGCCGATAACGTACTTTATTTTGTACGTGAAAAGGGTGAACAGTTGATTGGGTTATTTCCAAGGACTAAGACGTCCAAAAGAATCCTACGTATTAGTTCAGAGTTTAGTGAGTAACTTTTAATACAGCATGAGGTTCTAGATGTTGATGTAAATCATTCAATTAAAGTATTATCTCAAGAATCAATGCTTTCTTTTCCTGTAAGACGAAATACATGACTTGTAAGTTTCAGAATTTTGTTTGCACTTTTGAGTGCATGTACAAACTGTCTCATGGGGTATTCCAAGCTCGATATGAAACATGTGAAGATAAAGTACTTAGCCCCCCTCCATCTTTTGTTTCTGGAGAATTGGTTTGTCTATTTTTCTATTAGTACTCATTTCAGACTGTGAATATCGCGCCCTACAAGTCTAATGAACTGATCTCAAACCTTTTGGAGGAAATACGCATTTTAAAAGTAAACGTAGTATTATGTTAATTAACAGGATTTATATCGAGCTTACGAGTGCGACTCATCAGTTTGGCTAGCAAACTCTATGGTTAATAGTGAACAGGTCAAGGCTGAGTTTCCGAATATATTCGAATCAGGTAAACTTCCAGTTATTATTTCAAGAACTAGTTAAACCAATTAAAGTTGATCGACCTGATGGAAATGCTTATGGTGTTAATTTTAATCACCTCCTTTCTGGACGAAAATTGGATTCATCTGAAGCTATTTGGAATTTAGTTAAAGGTACGGTGTTCGCAACACATTTATAACTTCAAATGCACTCATGATAATCACGTCTGGATTCTTGGTGTTAATACAATTTATGGACTATTAGATTTGGCACACGAAAATTAATTAGAACAGTATATATATATATATATATATATATAGATAAAGACATTTAATCATCAAAAGCAGCCAATATATTAGCTTTTTGATTACCGTATTTATGTTAACACATTTTTAGACTGGCAATTAAATGCAATTCAACCATCTGTCCCCACTCAATTTTCATCAAAGCTTCTAAGGTCGGACTGGGTTAAAATATAAATATGATTAGTAGTATTACTTATAGTCCCAGTCCATCTGTATATGTTAGTCAACCTTTATTCATTGTCAGGTTATCATTGGTAATAAGATACAGGTTTTTTCCTTATTCATCTTAATGGTCTCTCCATTACTCCTATGACCAATTTCTTGTGGAAAATATTTTCTAACACCTCAGTATATTGTTATTGAAATCACTTAACAGGATCGCCAGATAAACCCACCTTCAGAACCTGCATTGAAAGTGCTTTTGAGTATTTAGTCGGCAAAAGTGAGCTAATTCATGTAAGTTTTAAGTTTTTTATAAAGTTTTAGATAGTTTATGATAGTATAATGTAGATCAAATAATATCCCTAAAATAATTACTTTGGTGCGAGGGCCTATATTTGCGTCCTTATATGGCTTCTAGAAAATAGGCTAAAATATCCTAGGTATGTTTAAAAACCGAAACTAATGATCACTTACATAGTTGTTTCACCTTGAACTCACTTTTCTGTGGACTCGACTTCTGGTTCTTGTTTCAATGGAATTAACTGATTAGTATCTATATTTATTCCACTTAAATTATGTTCTTTGTCTTGTGAATGGTTAGGCTGACGTTAGTACGTATTCCAAACCATCAGTAGAGACCTGTCATTCCCTACTTAGGGTTCGAGGGCGAAGTCGTACTTCTAACTGTAGAGGGATGTGGCAGCATTGTAGATGCTATATAAGTTAAACTAATTCCTCTATGGTTGTCACAGGATGATTTTAACCCTCTCTTATATATCAGGACAATAAGTAAATGCGACCAACCAGATGGGATTACGTCCAACTCCCAGATTTTAGCTAAAATATAAGTCAACCTAATCTGTAAAATTGGACAACCATACTTAAAGACCTCTGGAGTCAATCCATCTGAACCAGCTTCCCTTCCTCGTTTCAGATTACCTATAGCCTTTTGAACTTCAGCAAGAGTTGGGGGACCTACTTCAATGTTCCATTCACATTGTCTGGGAATGGAGGGTAGTTGTAGAGTAGCTGAAGGCCAGCTGAACTGTTCTCTAAAATGTTCCGCCCATCGTTCTAAACATCTGGACTGAAAGCAGATGAGGGTGTCGTCTTTTTCCGAAATAGTCTGACTTACACTTGACTTATTAATTCCAGTTTCTTTTATTAGTCTGTAGAGCTGTCTTGTATTCCCTATAGTCGCCGCCTTTTCCATCTCTTTTGCTTTCGTTGCCCACCACTGCTCACGGTCGTTCCTTAGACTATTGCTTAACCTAGATCTGATTTGTTTTCGCTCATCATCGTGTTCAGAGCCTGATGGGATGAGTTTGCGAGAATCCATCGGTGCAATAGACCATGAGGAAATCCATTGGTTCTTTGTAACTCTGTGGTTTAAGTCACTAATAGATTTCATTGCTGTTTCCACAGCTGTTTGTATATCTTTCCAAGCAACATCTGGGTCAGCCTCGTTGTCAGAACTACCTAAGTGTGACCTCAGTTGTTCCTGGAATCTATTTTCGTGTCCCGGTGCATTTAGAGGCCAAGGTAAATCGTCAGGTCCAGGAAATGTTAAAAGAAGGTATAATTGAGGAAGCGGACAGCCCATATAGCTCGCCGGTACTCTTGGTAAAGAAACCAAATGGAAAGTATAGATTTTGTGTCGACTTCAGAGAATTGAATAATATAACAGACCTGAAGCCTTGTGCAATGCCAACAGTGGTGGAAACATTAGATCGGCTACAGAATGCCACGGTGTTTACAGTGCTGGATTTACGGTCAGGTTATTGGCAACTGCCTATAAAAGAGAGTGGTCGGAGCAAGACAGCGTTTGCTGTACGTGATAAACAGTATCAATTTAAACGAATGCCGTTCGGGTTGGCGGGTGCACCGTTCACGTTCAGAAGATTAATGACACTACTGCTCAAGAATCTAGATAATGTCGAGGTATATGGCGACGACGTAGTTGTGTACAGTCAAACAGAAACAGATCACATCAAGCATGTGGAAGCGGTCTTAAAGCGAATTGACGAATTTGGACTTCGGATTAATAAGGACAAGTCGCAGATAGCGAAAAGTAGCGTCACATTGTTGGGACATAAAGTGGGAAATGGAGAAATAAAACCATTGCCGGAGAAAATTCTTACCATAAAAAATATTGCAGTACCTAATTCGAAAAGGAAGTTGAGACAGTTCCTGGGAAGAGCGGCGTTCTACAGTCGGTTTGTCAAAAATTTCAACGAAATAGCAGCACCCTTATATAAGTTATTGAGCAGCACCAAGTTTACGTGGACTGAGACTGCCGAACAAACGTTCAACCGAATCAAAAACATGCTAGACGATCGCCAGATGACGCTTAGACTGCCTGAACCGGGAAGACTGTTTACAGTGGCCACAGACCCGAGTGATCATGGTATAGGTGATGTGTTGAGTCAGGCTGATAGAGTGGTGGAATACGCGAGTCGCGTCCTCACACCTGCTGAACAGAAGTATTCAACCATCGAAAAGGAGTGTTTAGCGATCGTGTGGGCAGTGGAAAAATGGAGACCATACCTTTTAGGTAGACGATTTCACATTGAGACCGACCATAAACCCCTGCAGTGGTTGAAAACAGCAAGAGACCCCCGAGGGAAGTTGGCGCGATGGATGATACGCCTGCAAGAATACGATTTCAGTATCGGCCATGTTCCAGGAAAAGAAAACGTAATGGCAGATTACTTGTCAAGACCAGACATGGAAGCCGACCTGCCATTAACAGCATACGCGGTGAATAGTTTAGAGGGAGACCCATTAGAACTCGTCCGGCAGCAGAAAGCTGACCCTAACCTTCGAGAGGTAATCAGAGTGATAAAAGAGGGAGCAGACGTAGATAAACGAACAATGGACAAGGAGGTAATAACGCTGCTTCGGCAAAAGGACTGAGAGTGAACTCATATGGAGTGCTGATCTGGCAGGACGATGATGAGAATTGGGTGGCGGTGATCCCGAAAGACTGGCGGCGTAAAGTGATACACGAGTGTCACCAGGTAGCACATACAGGCATCGCAAGAACGACGGACTTACTACGACAAAGTGCATACTGGCCGAGCATGAGAGAAGATGTGGCTGAATACGTGTTAACCTGCCAGCAGTGTCAGCTAATGAAAAGCGATCGATACACACAACCGCCATTACAGTCAATCCCAGTAACCGCAGTCGGTGGATGTGATGGGACCGTTTCCACAGACGGCGAGCGGTAACCAGTACCTGTTAGTGATGACGGAACATGCTACACGTTGGGTAGATGCCGTACCCATTGCAGACCAGCGGGCAAGGACAGTGACCGAGGTGGTAATCCGGCATATTGTAGCGTGTCACGGAATACCGAAGATGATATTAACTGACCAGGGTCCCTGTTTTGAAAGTGACGAGTTTAAAGCCCGTTTAAAGCAGTTTGGCATCAAGAGAATACTAACTACGCCGTATCATCCTCAGACAAACGGGCTTACAGAGAGAAACAATCGGACGTTAAAGGAATGGTTAGCATCAAAAGGAGGAAATTGGGAGAAAGAGTTACCATTGATTTTGCTGGCACATCGTTCCTCCACACAAGGAACAACCAAGAAGTCACCTTTCTTGCTCATGTATAGCAGACAACCACGACTTCCAATGCATAATAAGACCTGGCGACAACAACAGAAGTGGACGACAACAAGGTTAAGAAAAGAGAGGAGAGAGGCAATAAGGAAAGTGGAAAAGAAACAAATATCAGACACAAAGAAGGCAGAACAACAGAGGAGAACGTGGAAACCCTTTGCAGTGGGGGACCTAGTAAAGTGTAGAGAACGAAAAAGTAACATAGCAGGGGGAGCAGGGTCGGGGAAGCTGGCCCCAAAATGGGAAGGACCGTATGTTATCACGGAGAGACGCGGCTCGGTCTACACGATCCGGAGAGAAGACAAGCAGAAGCGCGTAAATGCTAGTCAACTACAGAGATGGTTTCAAGATCATCATGGGTGTGAATCACGAAAAGCACCAAAGAACACAGCGGTACGGAGATCAGAAAGACTACGACAGCAACTTGTTAAAAGGGGGGACGAGTGTGGTGCATGCTACTTATATTGATATAAGTAGTATATAACGTGAGTCAAAAGAACGCAATGTCTGGCAGCAGAAGATGGAGAAGATCAAGAAAAGAAGAGCGAGAAAACAATGTAATTTGTAAGAAATCGCATGAACAATGAAATGCGAGACAATGGATATGATAGAATGATATTTTGCAAATTAACGATTTACTATATGGTTCTTCTATTTTACCAAGTAATTCTGTAATTTGCCCTAAATATAATTTGGCTGTCCTCACCCGTGTTCTTCTTCACTACAGTACGACTTCGCCCTCGGACCTTGGGTTTGCTACTTTTAGTCTTACCGTTCTTCAACCGACCTGTCTGGCATGGTAGGACCTCGAGGAACGATTGTTCCAGCCTGTATAGCTCGATTGGTTCATCACGATAGGCCAGCCCGAACATTACGTCAAGGTAGCAACAACGGTCGGGCCTGAAACTACTATGTTTAACTGGTTATAGTGTTGATTGAGGAGTAGCCAGTTGAAAATAGGTATTGTTGTTTTATGTGCTTCTGAAATAGCAGGAGTTTGCAGCGTTAAAGAAATAGAGCTGCTTGATTATATTATAAAATTCAATTCAAAAGTATTCGTCAACATAGTGTTAGTTTTAGTAGTAGGCTCCGGAATTTTGATTTTAAATATCAGTTTAGCAAACAACTATTATACTAGTGCATCATGAAAATACCTAAATTTCGTGACTTTGTTGTCTAAGCTGTGTTTGTATTTTTAGACTACTAATATGATAGACCAATTCATAAACCTTAATACATATAGCAATTATGACTATGATGGGTTTATTGAAAAAAATGTTAAAGATGACTCAAATGGTTTTTAAATATAAGAGACATAGAGATATAATGTAACGCATGTACGGGCCAGGTTAACATGCAGGTTTGTGAGGTATATGACAAGTTAACGACAGTAAACATGGCCAGAAACATAATTTTAAAGTTAGTGAAACTTATAGAACTTTAGGTAGGAGTATGACGAGTTAGAAAATTTACATAAGAAGTTCCTGCATTTAGCCTAGTGACATTGACAAATATGTCGCAAAAGCAACTGGAACTAAGAAATGTCTCTAAACAACACAATTTTTCTTGATAGTATGATGTAGCACAAAAGTATCAAATATTTCTTCTACCAAAAAGTATTGGGAGTGGCTCGTATGAAATATATACAACCAGTCTAACGGAGAAAAAAATCTATGTAAGTTAAGAAGTGCTAAAAACATAGTAAATTAACCAGGAAAGGGTAAAACTCGCCTGGATTATTTTCTTTTCGCTTCTCTAACGTTGTGCTGATAAGGTCGGATTCATTGAAATTCAGCTGATTATTTTATCATGACTTGCTCAGATTCCGTTAGAACCATGGGTATTTTGGATTTACTTAAAGAGAAGGATTTGTATTTCGCACTCATTTTTGTAGGGCTAGCTGACAGTAAGAACTACACTGTCTTATAGAAAGGTATTTTAGGTTAATCTCCTAGTTGTTATTGTTGCATGTTTGCGTACATTGGCGTCCATCTTTCAAATGATCAAGTATTCGTTCGCTTCATAGCAATACAGTGACCGGTAGGTTGTGTATCATGTATTTGTTTTTCATGTTCTGATTTTCAATTTCAAATTTTTGAAAGTTTATTAGGTTACTTTATCTTGAAATTTACTTAATATTGCTTCAATTTATTTCCTCATACTACAAGCTTGCTAGACACAACCGTACTCAACTCGCTTGCAGACTACGTCATCTACACGATCCCACAGAAACATACGGTCAAAATCCCTATGGACTTTTTAATTTTGGTATCGAAAGCCTTATCGAAATTGGTCTCCATAAAGTAATAAACGACTGTGTTTATCTTCTCGAGAGTAGTAAGTAAAAATTAAAACACCACTAATCTCTCTGCCCGCTGTGCTTACGTATGAACAGGTGTTTTTCAAACTTCCGGTTATCTATTTGGAAGACAAAATTAGTCAACTTACGATAATGTGTAAAATTCTAGTTTCAATGCTTCAACACTACCTTCATTCAAAATAAAGTTCATGACCTGTCAGTTATATGTCTTCATTTTATTTATACCCAAACATAAATCGACCACTTAAATTTAAAATTCAAATGACTATTTTGTAGATTTTTCGTTGCCTTGTCTACATATAAGTGTTCACCTAGTTTTATAAAGCTAAGCATATTGTTCGTCAACATTCATTTTTTGCCTCATTTGAGAGTGTAAATATTGACTAGCATGAGATAATACGCATTAATCATATTCTATAATTTGTAGTTTAAAGATATTGAAATCCAAGTTAAATCTCATAATTCGAATTAAAGTCATATTTTTCACTAGCAATAAATAACTTGAATGCTTTTTAATTCCAAAAAGTAAAAATATACTCACTTTCACTCTCTCTCTCTCTCTCTCTCTATATATATATATATATATATATATATATATATATATACTTAGCATGCATGTATTCAATGATGCGGTCTGGCAAGTATTTTTAAGGAATAGAACTATTCAATTAAGTTCCAAACCCTAAGTAAATTTTTCTTTTAAGAACAAAATTTCAATTTTGTAAATGAAAAAAATTTTTCTAATTTCAGTAATTCCAGAGTCTTATACATTTTTTGAAAGAGACAAACAAAGTGGATGGAATTTAGAAAGTCAATGGGATGTATTACACCATTTATATAAGTCCGTATCATTTTTGTTATGTCTTGGATCAATGATATCGAAATCATCTTTAACTTCTGAATTAAGGTTTGTTAATTATTCTATTTGATTATGTACATTTAATGTAAACTCTTAGTTACAATTAATTGTTAATGTTTTCTTCCAGCTATAATTCTGCTACAAATGTATTATGTAATCAACTAGAAATTACTCCCAGTTATCGAACTTGTTGGAAGATTTCATAGCCAACTAATAGGGTTTTAGTGTTGCATACACTCCAACGTCTAATCATTCAACTGTGCATATGCCTAGTTGGTTTATCTATAGAAAATATAAATATCCATTCATATTCGATAATTCACTACTCTGCTAATATTCGTTGCTATGTTAGTAGAAAGTGAACACTGCTGTTTCTACGCTACAGTTTCGTGGTAGTTTCCTTATATACCATTCATGTAACTAATCGGTGTGCTATAGTTTTGCAAATTAGTTTATAACAGATCCATTTTCATTCTAAAGTTTTAAATAGTGTAATGTCCATGGTATAGGATGGTAACATTTGACAGTTTAGCTTCAATATTTGTAAGATAATACTTCTAGGAAGTAGACTAATGTAACTACAATTTTGGGATACAACATAATTATTTATTTTTTGGAAGATTAATCTTCACTGTAATCCACTTAATGATCCCTGTATTCTCGTCATTTATTGTAAACTTATCACAAAATATAACTATAAATTTCGTATTGCTTTAAATGTCTAAAATAAGCTGTTTTGAATATATCATACAAGTGTGATACCATCGCATCAGTTTTCGCGTGTATTCTCTCACTCCTGTTTATTTTATTTTTTGTTTGCTTTTGTATAGAAAAATTATGGCTCAAAAATCGCAAAAAAATGAATGGAAATCTGCACTGTACGAGCCTAATAATAAGCCATTTTGTATGACTCATAGTTTCTCTCTACTTGTATCTGAGTTAGTTGTCCCGCTATCGGAGTAAGTTGTCTTTTTTATATTTTATTTTGTTTTATGAAAAGCTTCAAATATTTGTAATCTTTCTATGTGAGTGGTGTGTCTGTAGTGAACGAAGAATTGGTAGAGAAACCAACTTATTGTTTAATGCAAAATTGCAGAATGCTTTCGTATAATATGAAAACCGTACAATGGACACATTATTTGCACGTCTTCCCTCATTTTTCCTTTACATGCTTCATCATTCTTTTCATTCTGTTGTTACTACAATTGCTTTCTGTTTACCTCTCTGTTCTTCTCAATTGAATCTTCTTAATATTTTGCTGACATGCATTCCACTTCAGATCGGTTTTACATACTGCTTATATCTGTCAACATAAGTAGCCTACACCACATGTCCAATATGGTGATAAAATTAAGTTACTTATTATGTGATATTCAATAATCTCATAGGTACGATTTTTGGAAATAATTTAAATTGTTCTGCTGTTGATATTCTTGACTGGGATTTTATCACTTGGCATATTTGCATTCTGTGTGGACCGCTTCACCATGGTCGTTTTTATCACAACTGCTTATAGAATAGACAGATTGTGATTAACAATGGGATCTACAGGGATTTCTTCCTGTTTGAGATTCATCATCCGGACGCACCTGGATCCAGTGTTAGTGTAACATGAATTCTTTAGATTCGCACTGGATAATAACAGTTTGTAATATTTGAATATCTAAAATTCAAGTGGAATGCAACAAGTTTTGTATCGAAGTTGGTCATAAATTAATACGGATACGTATTGGGATAGTGTAGCAAGGTTTATAATAATCTAAGGAGAGTGAATGAAATGACAGGACTAAACATTATATTCTAAATATGTTTTGCAGTCTTATCAAGGTGCTATGAACAACCTTGGGGTCTGAAATTGGTGGTTATATAATTATTGGTGAGTCACATTTATGCTGTAGGTTAAGTGCAAATACCAAAGGTGCATGTTTTAGTATGAATAATTATGTATATGATACGTAAGATATCTGTCTGATCAACTTGACCAGTTACAGGTCATTTTAACTGGACAAATCAGACACAAAGCTCAGTATATGGCATACATCTATGCACTTTGTTAAACTACTTTATTTCGAACTGAGTCGTTACAGGAAATATTTTTAGGCGCGTTAACTTTAGTGAGTACTTCTCAACGTTTTATTTTATTTCTTGTTATTTAATGTCGTGGTTACCATAGGTTATCTCCAGATCTTTGGATTATGCGCATAGATGGCAAGCATCCTGTGCCAACATCAATACGCATTATTTACGAATCGGTTACAAAAGACGGTTTGTTACTTTTTAGTCTATTTAAAAGAATCACTGGTATTAATTTTAATTAAAATCTTTGGCTTTAGTTAAGTAACGAATAATTTAATGGTCAACTTTTCGATTTTATTGTGTTCATCTTCCTATTTCTGTAAAA